AGCTTATTAACAATATTCTTAATTTTTTTTGCAGTAAACCAAATAAATATCTGCTGGTTTTACTATTTGGACTCCAATATTAAAACTATCAATTAAATTATAAATCTTATTTTAACTAAAAAAAGCATCGTGTTAAATGAGTATTAAAAGACAGTTTTAGATATCTAGTGATTGGTTTTCCAAGAATTACTAAAAATATACGGCATCAACAACTCGATTTCAACTTAAACATTTTAAAATTTGAGCCAAAAATATCATGATTTACAACATAATAATAAGCTGTCAAACTTAGATATTTTGCTCATATCTAAAAAGAAATTCAATGACGCAGGCATTGATTGGAACGATGGAAACTAGCGAAGTTTTGCCCGTGAAAAACTGTATTTAGTATTTACATATACATACATGATATTTATTTATATTATATTTGCGGTTTACAAACTTTAATAATCATGACAGAAAATAAAGGCTGAAGTAGGTATTATTTATTTTAAAATTGTTCAACCAATTTGCATTAAATACGCCTAAGAGTTTCAGCTGTATTCACACTAAAGTTAAACATCTTAATTGCGCTGCAAATTAAATCAATCAATTAATCAACTTTAATATCAGGTATCAATCAAGAAACCTTGAACAATGAGTGAACTGAATATTTATTTTATAAAAATAAATATATAAGACATAAGAATAAAAATTTATAAATAAATCAAGATATGTTTTCCTCCACTCTCTTGTCCGAATTGACCAAGTAAATTTTCATCAAATGAAAAATCTAAACTTTAATTTGGTGCAAGCAATTGCCAGCAGACTTTAGCGCAAAATTTCAACTCTTTAAGATTGTTGAAACGGTTGCAATCTATTTTGCTGTAAACAAAACAGTTAACGGACAATCAAAAGGTGATCCATCAGACTTGTTTACTGCAATTATTGATGCTTTCGAGAGATAGGAAATAGTTTCGCAATGTATCTGAATGAAACTAAAATAAAACAATTGTGACTAACCGTGATACAGATCCAAACCGCAACGTCACGTTAATTAAATTGCTGCCAAAAAGATCACTCAGATTCCACATTGTAAATTAACTTTTGACTACATATTAACAATGCCTACCGAGCAACAACAGCGAAGAATGCGCTTGAAATGCAATAAAAACGCTTTTATTCGGTATTAAAAATAAAATTAATTTTCTAGCAATTCAGTCTTTATAATAGCGTGAAAGGTTTCTAAAATATCGATATACGCGCAAATGTAAATATTGGTACATTTAGACAAGTAAATAAAACAGTAGTGAACATTTAAAGTATGTACTTACTATTTAGTCTAGGTAATAAAAGCAAATACTTCACTTCAGGTGAATAAAAATTTACTTTTACTAGGTAGGTAGTAGATGCTGGAAAATTATAACTACATACTTTCTAATGGACATACTTTTACTAGTATTTACTTCGGCTCACAAAAGATAAACTAAGTCTATATTGCAACACAATGTTACACTTTAATTCACACATTCTTAAATATTTACTTAAGAATGCCTTTGTATAATCATTTAGAACTTTTAATTCATTTATCCCATTGCATTAATCGCCTAAAGTAGCAGAAATAAAAACAAATTAAAAAAACTTCGATTTGCTAATGATTTTGTGTTCCTGCAATCAACATCCCAAACCAGCCAAAAAATCAAACTATTTATGTTGATAAATCAACCACTCAATTAATTAATTAATAATAATATATAATTGTTCACGTATGCTTGTCTCACTTTATTTTTTTGAAAGGAGTTAAAATTTAAATTTGCAAGTAACACATGACGGAGTAGAAAAAATATTTAAAAATTGGACGTATACAAAGCAGTCGGTTTGAGAAAACATCCACACAAAGTCTAGATCTTTTCAGCTTTCTACTCCAATTAACGCACAAATAAACGACAATAATAAAAATCAGTAAGCAACTCCTTTTGTCCCATATCTAAGCTATCATCTGCACTGCAATAACACATTCCTGAGCATAATTAGTGCGAGGCGCCATACAGATATCTAATTAACTGGCATGTTCGACTCACCATTTTTATTTAGGAAACAGATGTGTAATTATTTTCGCAATTAACAAAACTAAACCACGAGCTTCTTTCATTTCATTGTTTCGTAAGAAATAGTTTATTTGAAAATATTTGTATTATTCAACTGCAAGGAAAGTGTGAGATTGTGAGACAACCAACACTTTCTACGGTAGCACCGATACATGTGTAATGTAGAAAGTATATGTGCTTTATAGATCTTTTTTCGTGAATGCACTTGACAAGAACATGGAGAAGAAACTTGCTAATGACCCACTTGATATAAGAAATAGCTTTATATCGATTAAGCCTGATTTTTAACCAAGAATTATTGAAGATGAATAAAATGTTTGGATAAGCAGCTATTTAAATAATGTAATAATTCGTATACAGGGTGATAATTTCAAATCTTGAGTCTGCAATATGAGGAACAAAAAATCATTGATCGGGACCGTTCCTGTAATAATTACAATAAGTAAGGGAACCAATTTTATGAACCAACTAAACTGAGGGTTGTACGAACCCTCTAGCCATATCATTGGCAATCCACTATTGTACCTAATAACTCTTTTACACAAACTTACATAAACTTCTTTCTCGTCTTTTTATTTTACTTAATTTTTATATTAAAATAAGTCAAGTAGATAATAATCTTCAAATTATTCTTAATGTACCTTTCCCATAACGTTTTACATTTTTATGGTTTAAAAAATCTCTGTCCTTGCAAGTAGCTTAACATTTTTTACGAAATCTATTAAGACAAAAATGTAAGCCATCCGAACATCCGACAGCGAATTGCTAAATTTACAAAGAAACTGGTTTCGTTCAAGAAACTCAAGTTGAAGTTCCCGGTCAGTTTACCATAACCGAACTTTATCGACTCGTCAAGCCGTTACAGAACTCTCGAGAAAAGCATTAAAATTGAATCAGTTTCATCGGTATAAATAGTAAATCCTTCAAAAACTTTTTGACGATGACCCGGACAGAAAAATTCTATTTGGTCAATCGATGACGCAGAAAATGGTTGGCGAGTCTGGACTTGTGAAAAACATTTGCTTTAGTAATCATTGCTCTTCTAATTTAAATTTAAATGGCCGAGTAACGAAAAACCTCATTTATTTAGAGTTCTGAAAGACTCAATGTCTGGGCCTGTATATTTGGGGATGCCATAAATGGGCCTATATTGGGCTATAAAAAGTTTAATGGTGAGGTTTATGTCGATATGCTTCGGAATATGATACAGCCGTTAATTATTCACGAAGTAAAAAACCAGCCAGACCGTTAAAAAAATATCTGAATATGATAATTATCCGAAACAAATGGACTGAGAGACGAGACTTCTTGAGTGGCCAACAAGATCCACCCGATGTTTTTCAAAGTCAATCTGACTCAACTGAAATTAGAGAAAATATTTGCCTCATTAATGAATCAAACATGCCTGTCCATATCCAGTAAAACTTTCGTTAATTATCATCCGAAATTGGAATAATTGTATGGAAAATAATAGTAATAAAGTTTTAAAATTGTCACTCTGTACAACTGTGCTTCATGGCAAAAATAGCTCATAAATGATAAAAATTAATAACACAATAGGACTTAACTGATTATGAGTTAAATGTTATCGGCAGCGCCATTGTTAGGGAATGATCGTTTTAATCCGATAATAAAAGTAGAAAACGAGAATAAAAATTTCGCCTAAGAAAAGTTTCAGAAGACTACATGTATTGCATTTGCACACATTAAAAGAAGCAGTTGGCCGGCATTGGAATCAACTGCCAGTAATACATTATGCATTCTTTTTTAAAATGTATTTGTGAAAATATTAAATTTTTGCTAATATAGTCTTTATATTAGCAAAGAAGTTGGAATAAAAACATACAGTTTCACAAATAACTAAAACCGTGCAGAACTTGCGAGCTGAATTAGAAGTTAATAAAATTTAATAAACAAATTACTTATATGTAATCAAGGAACTCAAAGACGAATATGTTTACTGTTCTACATCGATCAAACTTCTCAGGAAAATTTTCAAGAGATGCAATTTGATTTTGAACAATTTCCTTAATATACTTATGGTAACTAGCTGGTGCTGGGGTTACCAGCGTAGGTTTAAGTGTTCAACCTTATTATATTAAGAATAAAAGCTATTGTATTGAAATCATATTTTTTAGGTTTTGAATGACGTTATCCATGACTGTGCAGTGTATTTCGAGCCATTCAAAATCGTAATTTCAAGTTGCTAGTTACCATAAGTGGATTTTAACACTTACCAAATTAGATTATCTTTAAGGACGATTAACTTTGAATAGGAGTATCAACAATTGGAGATTGCATTTTACGCAACCGATACCACTTTTTTTATGAGGGTTTCTTTTACTAACCGTTGAAAGTTAAATCGATTATTTTCAAAATTAATACCCCGGAACGCAGTTAATTTTGCGAAGTTAATCATGTACAAAGTCGGAAATTGCATTGTACTAACAACAAAAAACTGTCATTGTTTCTAATTGATTAATGAATGATGTTAAGCAGTCCTTGACTCAAATTCATCTTAAAAGGTTTTTAATTACTTTAAACATTCACTGACCTAATGAAGCGTAATAAAGTATTTCCTATCTCGTTTCGAAGATCATGTTATCTGTATCTGTGTTAAATTAATGTTGTTAAAGTATCTGATCTGAGAAGGCATAACAAATCAGGAACTTCAATGCACTAACAATAAATATTTATTAAGCCAGAAACAAGCTCTAAATTCTGATATTTCATTATTTAACATTCGCTAAGATCGGTGAGCGCCAACGTAACGTGCGAGTCTCATCCTTAATTAGAATCAGAGCAAAAGCGTCCACATAAGGTACCGGGTATAAGAAGCACGCCACTAAAGCAAAGAAAATTACAATCCAAAAAACAAAACGCGTTTCTAGAATATAAAAAATTAGCTGTGAAGTCGTAACAAACAAACTTGTGATTACGACTAACGAAATTTGCATAGCTAAAAACCCATTATCTAATCGGACAATGGGTTACAATCAACTTTGAGAGCCTCTCATTCTGTACACAATTTATTATTGTTATTTAAAGGAACTTAACGTAGACAAAACACTACTATCTGTAGTCAATAATCTGAATTGAATTCGTTGATATCATGAATCGTCTTCGGCTAGAGCTATAAAAAGGTCAAATACAGAAAGTATATTATTAAATTATCGTGGAATGCGGGTTTGAACACCAGTATTATGGGGGCCACACGTTCCAGAATTACACTACAAAACAACTGAACGGTTACATTAAAGTATCAAGCTGTTGTAAACGACCTTATAGTATTTTTTTTATATTTATATTACTGACATTCTTAAAGTTATTTGCAGATATGGAGAAAAATCGAATTTGTATCGGACAGAATACAACCACTAGTAGTTAGCAGTACTAAAGAAAGTTAAAAGTCCTGAACGTGCCTAGAACATAAAGTCTACAATATATAACATTAAACCAGGCTTTCGAAGTGAAACGTCGAAATACGTGTTTACTCATAGGATTTAGGGATCGGTGAGTAAATGGATATTTACTATGGCCTGCTTTATGTGATTCCGAAGTAATGTGTCAGATTTTCAGCTTTAAAAGCGACAGGAAATTAGCAATAGATCCATTTCTTTAGCATTTTTAGCAATTCCAATTAGCAATAAAAGTGTACGAATGAGAATTAAACCTTCATAACCCGGAAATTCAATTGATTTTAATATTTTAATAAGTATCTACGTATAAAAACTATTCTAATCTATCTAGTTATCGATCTATCCGGATATTAATAGATTTCACTCCAAAACAATCAAGCACGCCGCAAAATAACACAAATGATTGCAATTAACTGCGGTTAATAAACAAATAATTTGGAATCAAGCATTAAATGGTGGCGTTGAAATCGTTTTTTGCGTAAAACATGATGCATATATGGCATTTAAAAACTATACAGGGTTGCTCATTAGTG